TGCCCCCTGGGGCCTGAGGGGTGGGGCCAAAACCACTAAAATCTTTAAAAATCTTCTTTACTTCTGTGCATCAAGCAGTCAAACTGTTTGCATGATTGTAATCAGCATTGAGTCCTTTATCAAAATTGTGAAATTCATGGCCCTGGGGTCAGGGGTTCTAGTACTAGGGCTGGACTAAAAAAGTATATAGTGAAAATGCATTATTTCTTTGAAAATCTTCTTCTCTGCTCCTGGGCATGAAAAAACCAACTAAGTACATAGTTATGATGAGCAAAAGTGCCTCTACCAAAATTGTGAATTTTATGGCCCTAGGGTCAGGGGTTCTGGTGTTAGGGCGGGGCTCTATTGATTATATAGTGAAAATACATGAATTCTTTGAAAATCTTCTTCTCTTTTCCAAGGTATTAAATAAACTTACTAAGTGCATAGTTATGATAAGCAAGAGTGCCTCTACCAAAATTGTGAATTTTATGGCCCCAAGGTCAGGGGTTCTGGTGTTAGGGCAGGGCTCTATTGATTATATAGTAAAAATACATGAATTCTTTGGAAATCTTCTTCTCTGCTCCTGGGTATTAAATAAACTAACTAAATGCAAAGTTATGATGAACAAGAGTGCCTCTACCAAAATTGTGAATTTTATGGCCCCCAGGGTCAGGGGTTCTGGTGTTAGGACAGGGCTCCATTGATTATATAGTGAAAATACATGAATTCTTTGATAATCTTCTTCTCTGCTCCTAGGTATTAAATAAACTTACTAAGTGCATAGTTATGATGAACAAGAGTGCATCTACCAAAATTATGAATTTTATGGCCCCAGGGTCAGGGGTTCTGGTGTTAGGGCAGGGCTCTTTTGATTATATAGTGAAAATACATGAAATCTTTGAAAAATTTCTTCTTTGCTCCTAAGTATTAAGCAGATGAACTACCTATATAGTTATGATGAGCAAGAATGCCTCTTTAAAAATTATAAATTTTATGGCCCCAGGGTCAGAGATTCTGGTGTTAGGACGGGGCTCTATTGATTATATAGTGCAAATACATTAAATTTTTGAAAATTTTCTTCTTTGCTCCTGGGTATTAAGCAGATGAACTACCTATATAGTTATGATAATCTTCCAGAATTGTGAATTTCAAGGCCCCAGGGTCAGGGGTTCCATAGAGGGGGGTGTATGTATATACTGAAAATATAATATATAATGAATTGTTTGAAACCTGCTCCTTGGTATTAATCAAATATTTTTGAAAAGCAAGAATGCCTGTACAAAAATTGTACAATGTGTGGATCTAGGCCTAAGGGTCAGGGGTTCATGTGTGGTAGGGACACTACTGATTATTGCTGAATATTACTGATTAGTTGAAATGCATATTTTGTTCCCCTACCCTGCCTATGGGTATGAAGTAACCAAACTAAGCAACTGTTAAGTGTATAGTTATGATGACAAATGGACCGCCAGCTCTTTCAAAATTGTGAATGCCATAGCATCTGGCTTAAAATATTAATCAAATTCAATCACTGGAAAGTTGTTGCATAATGCTCAGGTGACCTATAAGGCCCATGGGCCTCTTGTTATTTGTACTGTCTATATAGTAAGCGTTACTTAAGATATCACAAAATGATTATAGCCTCTTTATTTGTGTAACATAAAAATTTTATCACGTTTTGACTTGTTTTATATAGAAAATAATCATTTTAATCCGAACACTTTATATCAGCGTTTATGTCATTTAAACCTTGGTCCGTGCGCATTATCTGCGATCTTTAAAGACCCCGATTTGTACAAAAATATTACGTTCCATCAACAAAAAATAAATCATTCTGACTTGATTTTTCATAAGAAATTTTTTGATATACAACAGATTTATATAGAACCATTTAATTTTGAAAAACGTCATTGACCACGAACTTTTTGGACAACCGTCGTATCCTCATTTTTTAAACAGTCATTTACCAATCAATTTTTATACAAAGCAAATTAAGCGTGTAAACATAGACCAGCTGATAAAATATTTTATTGCAGCTCGGAGGACCGGGCTGCTCCATACATATAATTTTAAGTGTTGGTGTATGGGGATTGGGATGGGGGTAATTATTCAAAATTAAAGGTTTTCTAAGCATTGAAAAAATTGTTAATCAGAATGTTCTTTACCTTCATAAATCATGAGATACATGATGTGTTTACTTCCATAAAGTGAATCTGTAAAAATATATGTTTTTCATATTTAATATATAAAGTTGTTTATCATTAACTATCGAAAAAACGACAGCTAGGTCCCTTTTTTTAGAACATCAAATTTTACTTTTCGCATAAAAACGTACTCTGCACAAGTCGTGTTTTATATTCTAAAATTGAAAAGTAAATCCTTTTTTAATATAGGTGATGCATGTGTCTAACTTCAATTTATATTTTATGCATGGTATGTTTTTTTTTTTGTTTGACATTTTAATATCCCACTATAAGTTTTCCAGATATTCGCGACTATCGTCTCCATCAATTAGAAGCATGCTTTTCACACATATCGAAGCGGTTTGATGATCAAGAGTCATTTCCATTGTTTTACTTTATATACTGTAGATTGGCAAATAATCACGATGGTTTTAATTTCACTATGTTCGCGATTCGTCATTTTTCCGCGAAATTAAACCCACCGTGAATGCTGTCATTGGTTTAAAAAAATGTTTAAATGCATATAGGAAATTAAAATGAAGTTCTTTCAGCGTGAAATTAAAACCATTAAACCGATTGGTACATTTTAAGATATCGTAAAATTTTACCACCGTGGAATTAAAACGATATACAGTATTTCCCTGGCGACAATTGATGGTTACATCAATGTTTTCTTGTTCACTGTTTTATAACTCTGCTGCAAAATATACAAAAATTATTAAAGATAAAAAATATCAAATAGTGATAGATTTCAAAACAATGCATATCTTTGAACAGGGCATTAAGTCTTTAGGAAGACAGAGACATTCAAAGTCAAATTTATTGTAAAACAAAGGCCTTACAATTTGTACATATACAAAGCAAGTGAGAAAAATACGATCCCGTGATTTTTTTGGGATATTCTGTTGAATAAGGTCATTGACGCCCCTATAATTTAAAAATTCTAACTTTAAACAAAATCGTTGTGAACCCTATGTCATAAGCTAATTTGTCAACAGTCTGCCTTACTTTTAAAGTGGTCGTACTTAGAGCAATGCTTTGAAACATATAGAGAGAACGAACAGTATTCAAGATCAAAAGTCCATAGACAATACAAAAAAGGAGCAGAGCAAACAAGGACCTCCAAAACAACAGAGGTGAGATCAGGTGCCTTGGAGGAGTTAACATCCCCTGCAGACCCAAGACCCTTGCCGTGTGCTCCTTGTCACGATCGGGAAAAAAATCGATCGTCAATTCAGTGTATAAATAATGGACTAACAATATGTATGAAAAACGTCAGACAGCATTTGACCCAATGATAAATTGTATTTGCTGACAAGGTCATTTCATCGACCACAGAACTTTCGAAATGATGTCTTTAAACAAGAAAGCTAAAATTTTTGTTTCATCAACTTGTTGACAATAATTTATCCTGTTTTAGAATTTGTTCAGACATAAAGCATGCTCTTGCGTATTGAATCAACTGAGATAAATAAACTCTGTATGCAGGTGATGAAGGTATATTGCTGCATAAGTAAGGGAAGTTGACGATAGAAAAATTCAAGTCATTACGTTTATCATGGAGCATGTTGTTAGATTACCATTTACGTCTTTTTCAAGTAAAATATCCAAATATGAAACAGATGTATCAGACTCTGTGAAATCTTTTATTCGAGTTTATTATCGAGTTATCGATTTTAAACAATAAACAAAATCAACCATAGACTTCAACATAAGAATTTCAAGAATAAGAAACAAACTATGTATTATATGGAATGAATTGGAGAAGCGTTAGGCCAATATCTTAATTTTTATGTTCCTACAGGTAGTAACAAAAAAGTATGCTTCTACCTCCTTACCCCCGCCAATCGTGCTGAGCACTTGTTCCAGTAACAGTGATTGCCGGTTTTCGAACTCTGTATGCAATATTTACACAAGAGTTTGTCACTGCAATTCATTCTTTATTCTCGTCAGTGAAACATCATGCCAGTCAGGTAAGATATCGAATTTCTACAATGTATATAAACGACAGGGATACTTATCCAAACAACTTAGTTCCGAACGAACGTGCTGGGATAAATAAATCTTTAAAAAAAACTTCTAATAATAACCTAACAAAGTATAATCTAAAATGATCTCAAATTCCTATCATGCAAAGGTTAAAAATGTAACAAATTTGACTTTTAAAACTTATTTGGTTATAGTGCCAAGGATAAGCACATACATGTACCATTTCATAGTGTAAGTCAATTTTCCACTAGGCAAACAGAGTTTTGACGCTGTTACGGAGTTAAAAAGAAAAATCTAGATAAGAATATCTGGTTGTGGAAATAAATTATTGTAAAAGACATTGGTAATCAACAGTTTGCCAGTTTGTTTCCTCTGAAATTATAAATGAATGCAATTCTGGGTAAGGGGTACTCCAAATAATCGGAGCTGGAGTCCCTGTGTTAATTTTATGTTATGGGGTAAAACATTTTCTGTGTGTATAACTTATAAGTTGGGTATTTACAAAAATACCAATTCTCTGAATATGAACCAATGAGAGTTAAAAAATTCTATAGAGTATGCATCTTTAATTAATAAAAGATAGGAAATTATTTAAAATGTCTACATGCGGCGGAAGCAAATTGAAAGTGGTAAATTAGGGGGTTAACCGACCAAAACGTTTTGGACTAAGACCCAATTTTCAATGCTTTTATTGTATATCTTCCGTAGCCTATGAGTTTTGTTTATATTTTTGTGTTTCACTTTTTCTATTTTTCAATCTTTACTGTGTTCTGGATAAAATATTTCAACCAGATAAATGTAAAGAAAAATATTAATTTTTTTCCAGTTTATGATTTTAGGGCGAACATGAATGTTGAAAACGTGACAGAAACTTCCATGGTGGTAGCATGGAATACTACATACTACCCTGGTGTTGAAGTGTATTTTACTATTACATTTAACAACACAATGATCAGTAACGCTACTAGTCCTCACTTGATCGGGAACCTGAGAGATGGGGAGGTGCATTCTATTCTAATCCAGTCCCACGTCACGGGGAGAGACACGAGAAAGGAATCTGTAGACTCAGTTTTACAATATGTTAGAACAGGTAAAGTTACCCTCCATAATTGAAAAAAATTGAAAAGATTTATATTTAAATTTTCTCTTTTACAAACTCATTTTCAGCATTTAGCCTGTATGATAATTACATTCAAATTTTCTAACAGCTCCAAGGCAACCAACCACTGTTGTCGATCCGCCTTATAATGCACCGAATGTAACAATTAGATGGGAACCAAGAAATCCATATTTCAGAGTGTTTTACATATATTTTACGGGTCCTGGTGTTAACACTGTTGCCTCCACAAGTGATACAAGCATAACATTCACTGATCTGAAGCATGGAGCAAAATACTCTTTCACAATTGTTCAAGAATCAGAAGAGCCATATAGAAGAAACAGCTCTGATTTAACAAAAGAATTTCGCACAGAGCCTTCGGGTATTTCACTTTTCCCCTGAACATTTAAAATGAATATTAAATACTTGTAGATTTATACTTGTCTGCTTTCAGAAAACAACGATTTCATATATACTTATTGCATTAAAATAAATGTATTTATAATTGTTTTAGTCCCACATCCACCTATATATGTCGGGGCCACTGCTGGACAACGGAATATAACAGTAAATATAACTGACACTGATATGCCTAATGGAGATATCATCCAGTATATTTTTCAGCTTACTTACAAAGTGTACAGAGACGAGCCAGATCGTCACGGCGTGATCATTCTAGCAAAGAAAGACTCAGGCATATATATGCTGGAATTACAAAGACATGGGCATATATTTCCAGGTGAGAAACCATAGATTTACTCAATAAGCATCAGTTTAGAAATTTCTAACGACAAAATGATAAAGAAGTCAAGAGCTTTTTGACTTTGACTATAAGTTACCGTAAATGCATCATACATACTGTATATAAGGTAGAAAAAAAATGTTCTGTAGCAAATTGAACTTAGAGTCAAATATAAGAATTCGCCATCAAAAGTCAAGTAAAGCCCATTCAAAATAATCTTTTAATGTTTTTTTTAAAGTAGGTCAAACTCCAAGGTCAAAGGGTAAAAAATTACAAGGAAAGCGGGGGACAAAAATAGTTATACAATAGCGTATGATGAAACTTCGCAATTGAAATATAATGTCATACTTAAATCCTTAATAGTAAAGTAACAGATACTTAAATATGAAAGTTACATAGTACTAAAAGATGCATCCAATATACGGCTTAGTTTGAACGGTTACTGATACTGAAGGTAAAAAAATATATATATTGCACACTATCAATTAAACTAATGAAATAAATGATAAAATATTTAAGAATACTTTAGATAAAATGAAAACTTAAATTATACAGAAACGAATACATACATAAGAGATAAATTATTAAAGTAAATTTATTTTTCCACACATACAAATATTAACTACAGTGTAGTAACTGCTGTATAGGGAAAGCGGGTTTTCTGTGATAAAGGATACTGTGAACTCACTAATTTTCGTGGGGGGGGGGGGGGGGGGGGTTAATTTTCGTTGTTCTTGAGGTATGGAGAAAACCACGAATTTATAACCACCACAAAATGTAAAATTTTATAAACATTACCACTAAAAAAACATTTGCAGCCACGTAATCAAATCCCCACAAACCAATAAATTTTCCTCAAACCTTGAAAAGTCTGTCGGATGGGACGTTAAATGGTGCCCCGTGTCAAGGAAAACAACCCACGTAAAAGATCGTCTCTCTGGAGTTCGAAAAAAGAGTAGGCTCACTGGGGGCCGCCAGAGAAACCAAAAACTTTCAAAATCCGATTTAAACTAATGGTCCGCCGAAACATGGCTGAAAAATTGCCGACTCGGCGTTAAACAATATTCAATCAATCAATCAATCAAACCTTGAAAATTTGTTTTACAGTATTCTAAAAGTGATGTAAATCAGATGTGAATTCTCAAAATCTCAAGAGGTTTTAGAAGATTAAATAAAATTATTTATGAATTCCGGTATTTTACATTTTTTCTTTAGCTATAATTAAAACATACGACTTTTCTGTAATTTATGCCTCAGGGTGATCAGGCTTTTTGATATCATAGACAAATGCTTCTTCGTTATCTCCATATGTTTCATGCAATAAATGGAAATCGAAAACTTTCATATCCAATGATCCGTGATCAAGAAAATTACCGTTTTATGCCAAAAGTACTGTGAAGTTGATATTAAAAGGATGATGGAGTTTTTCATTAACAACATTTGTGGAAAATAGCCCCCCCCCCCCAAAAAAAAAAATTATGATGTTCAATAAAACAACGAGTCTTTTACATATATTTCACATCTTCATGATAAATATATGTAGCAACATGTCTATCACCTGCATACAGTGTTTATATCTCATAGTTTATTCGATACACAAGAGCATGTAAGTTATTGGCAAAGAATAGTATTTTCTGAATAGCATTCGAAACAGATATGGATTGATATTTAATTAAAGAACTGTGTCTTAACAAGAAAATACAAAGAATCGTGGTACCCCGCTTTCGATGTCTTAGTGGATGGGATATTATCCTTCATGGTATATTGTTTCAAATATGTACGCCCTTTTATTCATTGCAAAATAATCACCAAAGTAAAATTTTTGAAAATTAAGTCATACCAGAAGGTCAAGAATTATAGCATGCTCGGTATGCCTTCCATATGATAATGGTGCAAATTTAAAACCAAGTTTCCCGCAGCTCTGTTATTTTTCAGATTGAATGAAAACCAAGAATGAGTATTGTTGTAAATATGTCATTTATTAATGACACAAATGAAACACATGAAATTTGGGAGATCCTATGACTTTCTACAATTTGTATCTACACCTTGTTATGGATCTCCCAAAACTTTAAAATAACATCATGACAATACTCAAAAAACACAAATATATCAAACATTTAAGCTGAAAAATAAGGTGGCAACAAACAATAGGCCACCAAACAAAAGAAATTATCAAAATACATCCCAAAGTAAAGTTTAACCTTAGGGACGGTTGTACGGGGAGGTGGAGGGTATGTTTTTCTACAAAAAATGGTGTGTACAAACACTTGCAGCATCCACCAGCGATAACAATCACGTGATATATCCGACGTTAGCTCACAACTAATCAACGCAAAGCCCCAAAACCTGAGACTATGCATTACATAACGTCCTAGCTCTGAAACCTGATATATACATGAAATATACTAAAATCACTACATTCTAACCACAGAAAATGGTAAATTACATATGTATGCATAAAACATATTATTGTCAATAATATTACATTATGCCTTCCATATGATAATGGTGCAAATTTAAAACCAAGTTTCCCGCAGCTCTGTTATTTTTCAGATTGAATGAAAACCAAGAATGAGTATTGTTGTAAATATGTCATTTATTAATGACACAAATGAAACACATGAAATTTGGGAGATCCTATGACTTTCTACAATTTGTATCTACACCTTGTTATGGATCTCCCAAAACTTTAAAATAACATCATGACAATACTCAAAAAACACAAATATATCAAACATTTAAGCTGAAAAATAAGGTGGCAACAAACAATAGGCCACCAAAAATCCAACTACATTGGATTTTCCGCCACCCAAGGGAAACAACCCACGTACATGGACAACATAGGAGAAAAACCATAATAATCTTAATATATATGTTTAAGAAAAGATTCTCGCTCTGAATAATAAATGATGGCCAGTAAACCCCTGTAACTTACCACATTTTAATTGCATTTATATAAATCATGATAAACAATATTTCTAGTACAAAGGTTTAAAATATTTGTACATTTTTTTTTGGATTTGTGCTTTGAATTTACAAAGGTTTAAAATATTTGTATTTATGTAATAAAACAACATATCGGCAATGGTTAATTACAATTAATTAATATTACATTGCAAACAGTAAATTAGTCTATACAAATGATTTGCAGTAAACATTACAAATGCCGAGTCCTTTATTTCATGCTCCAATTTGTTATTTACTCTCTAATCATCCATTGCAGATGACTGAAGGTAACTCTATGGTAATAAATTGTAGGGGGAAGGGGATGACAGACCTCATCTGAACCATCTTAATCTGACCTAAGGACAACCTTCATGAACATGTCAGACATAATCTGACCCATTTACAGCTTATCTAGGGACAACTTACATGAACATATCAGACATAATCTGACCCATTTACAGCTTAGCTAGGGACAACCTACACGAACATGTCAGACATAATCTGACCCATTTACAGCTTATCTGGGGGCAACCTACATGAACATGTCAGACATAATCTGACCCATTTACAGCTTATCTGGGGAAACCTACAAGACCACAACCAACATAATCTGACCCATTGAAAGCTTATCTGGGGACAACCTACATGAACACAACCAACATAATCTGACCCATTGAAAGCTTAACTGGGGACAACCTACATGAACACAACCAACATAATCTGACCCATTTACAGCTTATCTTAGGACAACGGGTATACCTACATGAACCTGACAGGCATAATCTGACCCATTTATAGTTAATTAAGGGACAGCCTACATGAAGATGACAAGATTAATTTGACCAATACAAAATTGATTGCAGGACGACCTTTATAAGCAGATGTTTTGTGCTGTACTGTTATCATTAGGAGAGGGTAGTAGACTATACCTTATCAATTCAATGAATTGAGGAGAAAAAACACAACAAAAAAAAAAACAGACTACTGGAGAGAAAGAGTAAAGGATCCTGTACTTATATATCTCTTGACTGCATCAGATTTCCATCTACCCATACGTTGAATTGCATTTTTCGAAGAACCCAACCTAGCTGCATGAGTAGCTGCCCCAATACAAAAAGCATAACCTTTGTAAATTTTTTATTCAAACCCATGAATGTAATACTTGGACCTAAATGTTTTGAAACCAATGACTGTGAAACTGGAGTGCCATCAATAAATTGAAAAAGGGGTCCCCTTTGAATGTTTAAATTGGCACATATACTCAAAAAGGGGAAACACAGGACAGAGATCTTTTTCAGACTGGGCCTCTAGGTAGATGGTAACTGACTGACCAGATTGCTAGTTTTTGTGTGTGACATAAAATTAAACTTACAATTTTCAATTTTCCTTTCCCAGTTTCAAAATGTATGTTTGACCTTAAAAACACTTGATTCATAGATTGCAGTGTCCTGACAAATAATTCTCCCAATCTAATGCTCTTAAAAGAATTCGGTTATTCCAAGTAGACCTTGTAAGACGTATAGCTTCTATAACTTTTGTAGGAATTTCCCTCCGAATTTCCCTTGTTATTTGGAGTCTTGAGGCTGTTCTTTGGCATGATTTTTGACACCCTTTTTAACAATTTCTGAACCAAAAAAAAAAAAATTCTTAGATGGGTCTGACAAATTCAGAATTTTTTGAAAAATTAAATGGCCAAAACATGTGATGCCAATGTGCTTGGTGAATAATGTTCGAGTCTGTCAGCGAGTACATTAGATTTTATTGAAGCATGGTTAGCTCTTAAGTGATTATTGCACTGTATTGCCATTAGTACAAGCCGACATAATAATTTCATGAGGTTATGTTCACCAGATGACTGTTTATTTATGCCTTCTACTACTGCCTTATTGTCAAATAAGAAAAGTCTTTTTTTGTTTTTTTTTTTTTTTTTTTTTTTGTTTTGAAGCTTGTGCCCACATAATTCTAAATGTAATAGCAATTGGAAAAAGTTCTTTGATGCATTTTTGACATTGTATAAGGGCATCAGGCCACCTATCCGCAAACCATTTTGAACCCAAAACTA